TTGCATAATGGTGAATAAAAACAGAACTAATATAAATTTATTCACACCAACAGGAAAACCCGTTCTTTTACACAGCACTGAATAGTGAAAGTAAACCGAAAAGCTTTGCTACCTCATACGGTGGTAGTGCTGGTGAAGACAATCCAAGTGGGCGCACAGTGAATAGTGCTTTGATAGGGTTTATCGGTGTACTTGCTATTCTTGCCTGTGTTATTATAACTACTATGCTAGTGATAAAAAGCAGCAAGAACAAACTGAAGGGGAAAACGGAGGAAAATGAATGGCTATTGACAATGAATTCTGTTGATGCTTAATATATTTGTTAATAGGCTAGATATAGGCTCGGTAATGTGACACCAATCCTGCACTTTAATGTATATACCAATCATGTTTTAATGTTTCATTTTATTTACTAGAGTAATAAGTTGGTCACAACCTATTTTTTAATTATATATTATAAGTACTTTTAAATAATGTGTATTTACACAACGTGTCACTCCACACGTCAGCTGATTTTTTTAAAATATTTGTTATTTTTATTATAGATTTTCTTTGTGATTATTTTATGCATTTAAATCTTTGATATCATCAATGATAATATATATTCGAGACAGACACACACGCAATTAGGTGAGATCAGGGCAGTTTTAGTAAACAAAGATTAGGTTTATACCTCATGTGTATCAACAATTTTCAATGTTTTTGTGCAACTGTATTGATATTCAAGTTTCTTACTTTAAACCTGCTGTAGTTTGTATTTCTGCCGACCTCTATGTCCACGTCTACAGTCAACCTTGCATTACAGTGTTATTTTAATAAGCTATATAGGAATGTTATATTGTATATAATCTTTTATTGTGGTTGTATGGAACTTTTTATTTGCGCACATATTTATTTGGATTGTTCAATTGTTTGCTGATATAATTAGACTGAATTATATATGTAAATAAAATATATTGATGATCTTAATGACTCGATCTGTCTGGTGTTCTAGCTAGATCCCAAATTATATGCCAATTTTCCAACCATCTTGGCCGAAAACTGAATTTTGCCGGATTTCTACATTTCGGTTGTGGGATTTGGTGAAAATATTCACCTCAATGGGTGCATTTTATTCCGATGGCGGCGCCCTTGGTTACATGTGCATTTGTGTCATCATCACTCGTTTGTGATAATCCATATATACCACATTATAAAGCAGGTTTTCGGAGCGATAGGCTTAATTCTCCTGATTCATTATTCATCATGTAATTTTTATATCATAAATCCATTAGCGATGTGTAAAACATTCCTATCTTACAGCGTGTATTACACCCTTAGCCAGTTATAAGAAGACCCTCTCATTTCGTGCAGAATTAATGCGGACATTAATTAAAGGGCGGTAGTCGTCGCGCCTCGCATGCACGGGATATATGGGTCTCATATAAACTTAGATGGCGATATTGACTGTTGCGCAGATCAACGAGTACAAACTGAGACATTACCAAGCTTTAATTAGGTGTTATAGGTTATTGGAAGGTATTGAAGGAGTCACTGGCGGTAATTAGTGCAAGTCGCGCCCAGGTAAAATCCCATACTTGTGATTTCTATTAGAAGAGAGCACTGCATTATGGGAAAATCAATGTTTATCAACACAAATGTCGCACATGTGCAGGGTTACAACCAACAACCTTTAATGTTACATTATTGATCACTGAACTTAATTTGTACTTGTTTGATTAATTTAAATCACAGTCAAAATTACCTAATTTGCACATTTTGGTACATTTAACAAATTACTTAATTTCCTGAATTACTTGATGTTTGTGTATAAACTGTTCATCCCACTCAATGGGCTCTATGATAAACCTAGGAGGGTCCTGTGCTAGACTATGGAAGAAGCTATTTAGAAGAGCCTGGTAGTCTAGACCTCATAGCTATATAGGAAACCTTTTTCATCAATTCTGGGTCTTTGTAGAATTTGACGCATGGAGCCGGGAACAGCCACTGGTGGCGTTGTATACAATCGAAACCTATTTAGGCTTGCCTACGCTCATTCAGACTACAGTGTAAAGCCCAGAAACAGTTGTTAAAGTTGGTGATCAATTTAGTGTGATAGAAAGCGTGTACAGTCATCAAATTACCGCAATAGACAGAGTGGGGGTATATACGTGATTCCGGCGTTTCATAATAAATGCATTCTATTAATAATTTTCAACTTTCAAATAATATTCATGAGATATATTTACGTCACAACCTCGTTAAAGGTCATTAGCATATTGTGTATGCATGCTTCGGTCTCTATTCCATAACCAACGCGTCATCACATTGAGGTCAATTGTAATTTACGTTTTATGATTGACAAACTTTATTGACGGTGCTGAACGTTGTGTTTGTATTCGAAGCCTACACATAAGCGACGCTACCAGATATATACATAATCCAACCAGCCACACCAACCCAGCGACTGCTCAGATAGCAAAAGTTTTATACACACTCCCACCATGTCATACTCTGTAATATGCAAATACAATTCTAGTTCCCCAATAACTCTGGATGGCAGAGTAGAAATGTTATATGCCAGAATCTGGAAGACAATACAGAAGGGATTATGCTAGATCCTTGAGGGTGGTTTAAAAGGGTCATATGCAAGACCATGTATGGCAATATAGAAGGGTTCTATGCTAGATTCTGGAAGGAAGTGCAGGAGGATCATATGCTATACCATAACTGGCAGTGTCATACCACGAGAAACACTACAATTGAACAACAAAAGTATCGTTAATCTGAAAACTACATATCTTTCATCCAATTCTTTTCAGATAATGTTTTTTTCTGCGTGCAAGTCATACATTCGCACACAGGCTATGTATCTCATCAACATAAAGTGATGTGGCCACTGAATTAGTAAACGTTACATTGGGATACACACATATATCAATGATCAATTTATATCGAACATAGAATATACCTCGGTAAGACATTAAATTAGTCAATTTATTTAATTTGATTTTACTTAATGACCTACCATGTAATTTCTCGCATTCAATTCCATCCATTGATGGTGATAATACAGCTATGCATACTACCATGAAGGACATGTTGATGAGGTTCAACTGAAGTTGAATAGAAATATTGCCTGGTCATCAACTTATGGTTGCCAAACAACAAGCTCACATTTGCAAGGGTGAAATTTATGATTATATTTAAACAATTTGTAATCAGTTAAACATCTGGGCGTGGTGGTTTGTCAAGCACACTTTGTTGCCCCAATGACATCTATATGGTATGCAAAACCGTTCCATATTTGCTCTTATATCATTAGGTGTCTAGTGGTAGAATGTGTCCCATATCGTTAATAGTGCATCTGGTGATGGGATTTGGTCTGTCACTAAGGAGTGCATTTAATTATGGGATTTCTTCCATGTCGTTAGGGGTGTTGTGTCCAATATTGAGATTTCCTGTTATATTATTGATATGCATCCTGAGATGGAATTTTCTGTCATGACGTTAGAAGCGCATCTAGAGATGGGATTTTCTGTAATATCAAATAGTCTTGTTGTGAATTTATTCTCATATCTTTCATATTTGCAATCATACAAGAGTGTAACTTTGTTATAAAGTTGGATGTGTATTCATGTTATCAAATTGGAATTTGTATTGTAATGGGATTTTCACTCATATCTTTAGACTTGTAATGTTGTAATGAGATTTTTAATAACGCTTGTCCTTCGTTGTAAACTTTTAACATTGAATTGAATTTCAGACGATTTAGCTCACTATCCGCAATAGAAATAACAAGTTTTTAAAGTAGATAGCGGCATACCAAAACGATATTCAAATTTAATCAAGGGTAATTTTTTATTTCCAAAAACACAAAACAAATTAGAACAACTGACAGGTACGTCACCAGTTGCCAGCAACATGTTCAGCTGATTATGTAACACATAATGTGAGAGAGTGAAATACTCGGTGCTTTACTAAACCAACGTTCATATTGCACTTTACCAAACACTTACCAAACAAAACATTTATATTTTAATATATTTATTCGATCTATACAGAACACTCAATTTCTCGACATATCTTATAGCGTATGAGATCACTAAATAAGTTGAGTCTAGCAATATCTAGACAATTTTAACAAATTTCCCATTTTTAAAAACTTTTTGTAATAATATTAGTTGGTAGTTTTGAACACCTGCAACATCTGAAGATCATTGTATTAATTGTCATGTACGTTTAATTTTGATATTCTGCTCGAAAGGTACTTGCTGAATTAGCAACTCATCATCTCGTGAATACGTATGTGATACTTAAGGGGCTATCACGTATAAATACATTGAGCGAGAAAACTAAACAAGAAATATCATTTAATGTGTTTAACCAATACATTCATTGAGGATACAATGGGCATGTTTTGATCTTGACCTAACCTTGACCTCTTTAATAGGGATATTATTAACTAGTAAACTGGGTAGCAACGTTTGGAATCAAGTTGATACAATAAGACAAGATAGTATGGTACAGCCAATGCGCATCACCTGATGAACACGTCATAATCGTAGTAGTTGCTTAAATATACTACCATATATCGTATATATCTCAGAGGAGGCACAACCACTGCATTTGAAAACTTCACTGGTGTGGGCACATTATTGAAATACATCTCAGGTCTATGATGAAGACAACTATTGCGACTGTGTTATTTCTTGCAGTCTTCACAGGAATCTCTGATGCATGTATGTTTTGTTGATAACTATAGGTTTATTTTAAACACATTGCATTTACATTGCAAATAGTGAGTCGATAACAAGTTTATGATTTGACCAGAAATAGTAGACCAGAGCGTTGCTCGGCCGTTGTTCTATGGGATGCCGATTTTTTACTGCATTTTGTGAGATTTACACTTTGTCTGACATCATTACCACATTTTCATCATTACTCAGTACGATCGTTAATATATTTTGATTGGCCGACTATAATTTCCACATATGCGATTCATAAACAACATGCAGTTATATTTACATATATTCCACATTACTGGTGTTGTAATACAATCACGGTTCTGAATGTTACTGGTCTGTTTTCTTAAAAATTTCAAACAGAATAAATGTGTCAATACTGCTTATGTTAAGAACACTACATTTTTTATTCATTAATTGATTTTCGTGATGTGTCTAAGATCATATCACATCTGCACCTAGGATCTAGGCTCTAAATTTACTTGATGAAATATGTTGCTTTTTTTAGCTGGACATTGGAGTGATTTTGTGAAAGCCATATACAAAGCATCTCACTACCAGGAGCAGTCTGACTTGTACGAGTCTAGTAACAATGGAACACTACTGCCCATACCATTACCAGTAAGTATTAGTTAGCATGGAGACAATGAAGGCCAGGGTTGTCTCAACAAAACTTGCGATGTATGAGTCTGATGACAATGTGATGCTACCTACTTTAATAACACCATTAATAAAATATAATGACATTTAGGATTGTCTGACTTCATCTCTGCATATTTTACACGAGTCTACATAAACAATATATATTATTTGCTTGTGAAAGACCATGTTGGAATGTCCGTGTAACTGACTATACATAACATTTTGCGAAATAGTGTCAAATTTGTTATTCTTTCGTCTTCAATTTTACAGTTGATCAATAAAGTTCAAATTGCAAATAGTTTCTAAAGTTTTGTTTTGTTGTGAAACTTCCATGTTATGTTTATTTCTCGTTTATCTACAGTGTCTGCGTTAATGGGTTGCGTGTATTGTAGCAATGTGTCAAACGTATTTAAACATACTTTAGTATTTAACACTTCTGGTGTCACTAAATGAGAACAAAACACAATGAAAGACCACTAACATAATGTGAAACTTTGGAAGCAAATCTCATACCAACTAAAAAACGAAAATACTACTCATTTTAAAAGAAATACGTAAACATTGGTGTGTTGATGTTCTACTTGTCTTTTATTATAGACATTGATAAATAAAAATGAAGTACATAAAATTAACATTTAATACAAACGAAAAATATTTATCATTTGTAGTCTAATGCCATCTTCAATGTGGAAATGACGAACGCATATTTATACTTCAGTGTTATATGTTGTTTCTAGATCGAATTTCCTGATGGTTCTTGCACATCCGTTATATCTCCACCGGAATTCCCAGATTTACCAAGGCCACCCAGAGACTTCCCATGTTCTTGTGTTAACCCAGGCACATCCGCAGTTTCAGGTATTCCTTAGCATAGTAGCAACTACTCCAAGCAAATTTATTGTACCCTGGCGCCCATATATGTTACCCTGCTATGCCACATATGTCATCTTGTTGTATTGCTAGTATGAAGACATATTAAATAGGCTCTCCATTGCATATAACGCCCTACACGGGGCCTTCCATTACGCTCATCTGCACGCCGTCCAATTTCAATGATAAACTTCGTCAATAGTATGATATATTAAAATATCATCAGTCAACATAGAAATCAGGTTAGGTAAATATACTTGTCCAGGCATGTGATACCAATTTGCATCGTACCATATCATATCATGTCATGTCATCGCACTCCGGCAATGACAAACATTAATACCCTTCAAAATGAATACAACCGTACCTTAGTAGAGTGTCCTTTGTGATAGGCGGTCTCAAATAGGACCTCGTCTATGTTTATTTGTTGTTTTGATCGACACGTTCATTTTATTTCAGTACATGCATTATCTCCCTTTGATGTTAAGATAGTTGGGGCATTAGGTGATTCGCTGACAGTAAGTATTCACATTCATAGTTGCACAATTATTATTATTATCCAAAATTATTATTATTAATTACATAATGTATTATTATGTTATTTTAACATGTACGAATCACCTGCATATTTAGTGTAATGTGTAGTATATTATTATAATATAAAGGATATTATAAATATAACTTTTATTTTGGCATTGCTTGTTTGGAATAAAATAATGAATGGTGCTTTTTGGTTTACGAATAAAATAAAATAAAAGACGATCACATAACAGTACAAAAACACCTTGGAACACCTTGGAAGGCAGACCGGTGACACCGGTTCACACTTAAAAGGGGGTATCACACCGCCTGCCAAATTTCGAAGAAAAATTAAAACAATTAACAGAACAAGTAACATAAAACAAAGAGGACGAAACTCTTGGTTTTTGTGCATGTTTTAAACTTTGTTGTAAATACCAGTGAATATTAAAAGTTTGAAGTTATATAATACTTGGTTGTAATGTCCGAGTTTTGGCTTATTGCCAACCAGTTACTGCAGAACCGTACTAGCTTAACTTCTAGCAATTCATGTTACTACAGTCAGTGTGGCATATAACAGAAAGCGCGTAAGCATGCATGCCTGTAATGGCGAGGCGCTTGTCACGTTTCATCTTCGCCAACCAAGGTTCGTTTCCAGCCGTCACCACTCAACTGCGGTACAGACTCAAGTACGCGTCGTCACAGGATCAAAAGATTTTCAGTGCCGGGCAACATACCGAAGGCACAGGGTCTTGTGACGATTCTAAATCAGTATTCCCGGGGCGACGTAACATATGCGAGCCCTAACAATACTGGGAAGTGTGGAAAGTCTCGCCCGAAATGCATTGGCGATTCTTCGCGATTAGCAACGCAACGCTACATTTGTGGTATCACCAGTTGTCACATGTTATGCCAACTCTTGCTTTAAAGGCGCCACCAATCAGATCTATGCATTTTACCAAGGTAAAATACTCGACTTCTCGGTAGAATCCCGGTAAACTTTAAGGAAATAGTCACCATGTGCAGTGCTGGCGTAGAATTGTTAACAATATTTCATAACCACCTTGTTTAGGCTGAAAAGCATTTGCAGATTTCATTTGTTCAGTGTCAACTGTAAAATAATTCCTTCTATATTATTCTATTCATTTATAATTCAACGCAATATACTATCGAAGATTTTTCGCATAACAAAAAAATATTTAATACAACATATCCTTATTATCTGGTTGTTATTATGTTTGAAAGATAATGGATTTCAAGTTATTATTATTTTATGTCTGCTAAATGTTTCAATACCATAATAATTTCTTTTTATGTGACAGACGATATAACATATATCTGTATATTGTTATTTATAGGCAGGCAGTGGAGCGGACGCAGCCATTATAGTTGGATCGTTAAATGACTACAGAGGTGTAGTCTACAGGTATGAACAAAATGAAACTCAAATGAAGTGACGTTTGTTTCTCAGTAAGCTGAATAGAATATTGATTGGGTTTATCCCAAAAGTGTCTCACAGTTTCATCGATATGTGAACACATTTATAGAAATTCACTAAGCATGTTTGTTGCATGCGCGTCATGCGCATTTCAATTTCCGAGAAATAGAGATGATATGTTGATAATCTATATATCTATAAACAATGATTTTCGTTTTCACGTACAGTATCGGTGGAGACGAAGACTTTTCGGCAGGAGTCACTACTTTACCAAGTAAGCTACAAATAGATATGACGTCATATTTATATCTCAAAATATGTTCCTGTATTGCAATAATTCAGTGAAATCATTTCTATATTTCAGATATTTTACAAGAGTATAGCCCGTCGCTGAAAGGATTCTCTTTAGGAGTTTGTAATAGAGATGAAACGGCATCGGCTTTGAACGTTGCTAGTCCTGGTGATGTATCAAGGTGACTTATTTTAAAGCGTAACCAAGTGCTCCTTTCGTTACTTTGTAAACAGCATTATTAAAAAATACAATTGCAACGACTTATTTTTCAGTTGGGATACATTCATGCTAAATGATATTTGTTTCCACAGAGACATGAAGTACCAAGCATACCGACTTATTGACAGAATGAAACTGCACCCAGACGTTGATTATGAACTCGACTGGAAAGTCGTAACGATCTTAATTGGTGGAAATGACCTGTGCTCTTTCTGTGATGATAAAGAACTGTACACAGCCGAGCGATACCAGCAACATCTTCAAGAAGCTTTAGACGTCTTACATGAGGGGGTATGACTTCAAATGCTCAGCTACCATAGCAACCGTTTTGTTTAGTTTTTTTCATTCGCTGATATAAAAGACGAATAACGTTATTTGGTTATTTTCAGATGCCAAGGGCTTTTATTAATTTAGTTTCCGTATTGCAAGTAGCAGAATTATCACAATTAAATGGCACTATATGTAATATCATTCATTGGTACGTATCATTGCATTGTTTATAATATGAGGTTATTACGAGGATACCGTAAAGTATGTACGAAGACAGTACAGCAAGAGTATTGACCGACACGCAGCGGAGTTCGATGCGCGGCGTACTGTCTGAGTAATAACCTTATTATTATACATCTTTTCCTTCCAAGGATACATCATAGGAATGCCAAAATCCAAAAAGTTTAGAACAAAATCGGCTTCTTTGTATGGAGTCAAACCCTGGTGGCAGCCATTTTTGTTTTTATTACTAGAGGACTTTACGCGCGTAATCATTCCATATTTGGAATTCGCATTTCCTAATATGGTAGGATGAAAATATCTCGTAAAATACCGCAAAATTACGACACACTGTAACTTATAGCGTTACGGTGACAGATGTATAATAATACCTTATAATATAAATATAGTCCATTGAAAAATAATAATGCAAAGTAGACTGCACAGTGTCTGATATGAGACATCGTCCCGGCCCGAGCACAAATTGTACTAGTTCTAGGGGTTTTACAGTGAGTTGACTGGCCTAAGTGATTGATGTGATATAGTCCTCAAGTATGTAGTTTATCAGATTGCTGTAGTTGACATAGTCCAATGTGAAAATATATAAAGATGAAGATATGCAAGTGGTGTGATATGCGATTTGCGAGATGATCACAACAAACGTGCATTTCTAAAAATGCGATAGACCTGGTTTGTCCCAAGCTGTTTTGCCATAGTATCTGTGTGTATTTACAAAGCGTACATTAGATAATGATAATTTGTTGTGCCCGGGGTAATCACACATGAGTTCATATGGATAATTAAAATGGTTGTATTATGTACATTCTCTAATCACATTGCTAATAGTTATATTCTGTTTGCTGTTCGCAGTCTGTTTTGTACTTGTGTTAAGTATGGTGATGATCAGAATGAACTAGTTGAGCTCACCAAAGAATACCAGGTAAAATTCTTGAATGATTTGTCTATTAGAACAATCTCACCCTTTCTTTAACGAATCAACTATACTTGATCATTATAAAACTTAATTAACCGATTCATTTCAGCGTGTCACCCACGAACTCATTGATAGTGGGCGCTATGAAACATCAGATGACTTTACAGTTGTAGTGCAGCCATTCCTAGAAGAGACCACTCTACCACTTGATGAGGTAATGGCTTCATACTTTAATCACGGAATAAGTCGAGTGGTCATCAGATTGTGAATCTGGAAATGAACATTGCACAGTAGCTTTTGAAAAACAAATACAAATTTCGTATTACATATTGTACATATCTTATTTCAATAATCGATCATAAGTCAATAAACTGTTATATCAATACATGTAAACACCTGTTATATCAATACATGTAAACACATGTTATTCAAATACATGTAAATATCTGTTATATCAATACATGTAAACACCTGTTATATAAACACATGTAAACACATGTTATATCAATATATGTAAACACATGTTATTCCAATACATGTAAACACTTGTTATATCAATACATGTAAACACCTGTTATATCAATACATGTAAACACCTGTTATATCACTATATGTAAACACCTGTATTCCAATACATGTAAACACCTGTTATATCACTATATGGAAACACCTGTTATATCAATACATGTAAACACATGTTATTCAAATACATGTAAACACATGTTATATCAATACATGTAAACACCTGTTATATCAATGCATATAAACACCTGTTATATCAATACACTTAAACACCTGTTATATCACTATATGTAAACACCTGTTATATCAATACATGTAAACACCTGTTATATCAATACATATAAACACCTGTTATATCACTATATGTAAACACCTGTTATATAAATACATGTAAACACCTGTTATATCAATACATGTAAACACCTGTTATATCAATACATGTAAACACCTGTTATATCACTATATGTAAACACCTGTTATATCAATACATGTAAACACCTGTTATATCACTATATGTAAACACTTGTTATATCAATACATGAAACACATGTTATATCAATACATGTAAACACCTGTTATATCAACACATGTAAACACCTGTTATATCAATCAATGTAAACACCTGTTATATCAATACATGTAAACACCTGTTATATCAATACATGTGAACACCTGTTATATCAATGCATGTAAACACCTGTTATATCAATATATGTAAACACCTGTTATTCCAATACATGTAAACACCTGTTATATCAATACATGTAAACACCTGTTATATCAATACATGTAAACACCTGTTATATCACTATATGTAAACACTTGTTATATCAATACATGTAAACACATGTTATATCAATACATGTAAACACCTGTTGTTATATCAATACATGTAAACACATGTTATATCAATACATGTAAACACCTGTTATATCAATACATGTAAACACATGTTATTTCGTGTAATTTCAGAATGGTGATCCAGATAAATCATATTTCGCAAAAGACTGCTTTCATTTCAGTGAAAAGGGACATGCTACCGCCGCAGTGAATCTTTGGAACAACATGGTAAGCAGTTAACTGTATCAATATCGTGAATCAGCTCATTTCACATTTACTAGATTGTTGTAATAAATATTGGCAATTTAAATATTCAAATGTTTTTTGATGACCCGAAATTGATATGAACTAAAATGTATGTAGCACCCGACCGACCTCCAATAGCGTGAGTTCTACTCCATCACATTAACAATTACGTGTTCTCTCCACTTATTCATATTCAGTTTGAACCTGTTGGGTTAAAGTCTCGCGTGTTTAACCCTGAAGCCGACGTTTACTGTCCAACTCAGGTAATATTCATTGTATTTCACTATAATTAAATTTATCGTTTTAATAGCTATTTTTGCATACACTTTCATAGTACATGTGGGTCCCACGGACAAATTTTATGTATAACCCAATATTTATGAACTAGGGTATACAATTTATGTAACCGCGTATAACCGCGCAATGTTCCCTCTAGACGTAGAACACACTCCACCACACAAATAAGTTTATATATCTCTTGAAATGTATTTAGTTATCTAGCAAATCAATAATTTGATCAATAGTTTTCTTTTGGGTATATAGAGATCAACGAGATAAGGCTAGTTAGCTAATACACCAACAAGTTCATGAATGTTCACAGAAGTTACATCCAGCATTTTTAAGATGATAAAAAAGGCAATACAGCTAGTTGTACAAACAGGAAGTCTATATTCAAACCCTACGTAGAAAACAGACACTGCAATATCTCATAAAAGTACAGTATGTGTTAGTGCAGGTTGTACATATAAACAATAGCATGATACGTCATCTGACAGCTGTGCATGAACCAAAATCTAAGCTAGTGTCAATAAACATATAACATATTAATGTATATTCATTATAAAGAAATTGAAAGTCATGTGGATCAACTAGGAGTTTCCTTTAGGCTTTTCTCATGTCTAATTGTTTTGAATAAAAAATAAGCTAGATCTTGCTCTCTAACAGTAACATCCAATGTTTACGTAGAGCTACTTAATACCATTAGTCTTTAACATTAATATTATTTCAAATAGGGTGGTTTCTTGCTTCGTTTCAATTTAGCAATTCAGGAAGTTTGCTAGAAATATCTTCTACTTATGATGATACTTGGTCAATTTGATTATTTACCTTGGTGAATTTACGACTATAGTAGGACTAAATTTGTTTGGTTTGCATTGTCTTATTTGCTTCCTGATCACCAGTAGCACCAATATTACCGCCAGACGTCATTCATATATCGTTGTCCTCATCAAAATCCTCGCACCTTACTTTGACAGTGACTTTGATTTCTGTCCGACGTTTTACTATGGGAATAAATGTAATCTGTAAACTTAACGTTGAGTCCCAAATAATAAATAAGAGGACACGTAATTACAACACGCTCCGACAAGACTCATAACAAAAGGCAACAACACGACTGATGTAATTAAACCAAATCAATCAAAATTGTCATTTATCAAAGTACTATAACGATTTAGCATGATAATAATAATATTCAATAAACGTAAGTAAATATCATCCATGGAAAACAAACCGCCAAGTTGACCCATCAATAACAGAAAGATACATAGTTGAAGTTTAATGAGTTGATAATGTCCCACGAAGACACAGCAGATGTGAAGTTTTTGCATTGTGTAGATGTACTCAATGATAATATTAAATATAATTGCAGCCTCTTGAACCTCGCTTTACCATATTGTCAATGTCAAAAATATCATTTACATATGGTCGGATTGCTCAAATCTGGTGATAATGCAATTACTATCACGATTCAAATAATTATATAATGATCAATATCAAGCCAGTCATGTTCTGTTCTTCAAGTCCGCATCATTTTACCACAGATCATTGTTCATCAGACGTTGATTTGTGTCACCATAACGATTTCCAAAGGCCGACCAGATGGACCAATTATCACACTCCAATATTTTCGTTCATTCATTACACTTCTCAAGCCTTCCACAGTGATCAAAATGACCACGAAAACATTATTCAGACTTACATACAGTTTCTGCAAAACCTAAAACAGCAAATATTCCCGTCTAAACATTTCCTACTGATTTAGGGGTTTAGGTTCTGCATAAGTCTATAAATAATCTTGACACTAATCCTTGCAGAGTATCAGACTCGGATTATCAGAGGTTAGCTAATTCACCCAACTCTATCACAACAACGCTGACACAATAACGTAATACTAAACCAAATAATTTCACATGGTCGCACATTCAATGTCTTGTGTTGATTTTGTTTGTTTGTTTGTTTGTTTGTTTTTATTCCCAGGATGTTCCATACTTTTATACATCAAAGAACAGTGGTATCGAACCTACAACATCATCATCAGCGTCACCAAGAATATCTCATGTGTTCTATATATCATCTATGGTTATGTTATTTGAATACTCATTCTGGAACTGATGTATAGTGCGTGGGATAATACTATAGTCTTGCCTTTAGTCGTGATAGTTATTATAACAACAACAAAAACAACATTAGAATTGTTTATTTGTAAATGGTTTGTGATAACATGCAATTGTCACAAAAACATGTATGTGCAACAACTTTATTGTAACTACTAGGGTAAATGATTGACTGTATGTCAACTTTTATCGCATTTGAAATGTTGGATATTTCAATATATAAGTATATATATAATATACAACATATTTTCTGAATAACTTGCTTCCACAGTTATACCATTATAAGGGACCGGTTACTAACTTTCATCACAAAAATAAGATGACGTGTCCCTCGAAAAAAAATGTTTACCCCTAACAAATTTAACGTTATAAAGTGGAGCTAAACCATGCTTTCTGAAACTTAAAGCGATCGTTGCGTACTTACTGTGACACACTTTGAAATAGCAACATGCCATTTTAGCAAATTTTGACCAGTGTATGAATTAACAGAATCCTAATTTACCTGAAGTGTGCCACAATCTCATTATCAGAATATACTTTCTTTAAATTAGCGTCATCCTGAATTAGCGAAAATGTAGTTTACAACACTCCCAAGAGTCACAATATTTACCCCGTTGTAATTCATTTTACAGTTTATAACTGGCTATTTTGGTTTTCTGATATTTTATCATGTTTTCGTTGGGAGCTTCAATCATTATTTTAACAGTTTGAAAAATAGTTCACATAAGTCAGAGTTCACTGTCTGCGTTGGAAAGATGTACCGTCACTTTGTTTAATGCTTTGAATAAACAGTCATTTTCACATGTCAGTTTAAACCATGCATGTCTTGTTGTTAATTTCTGTTTACACCTTACCATACACTTATTGCGTTCTGTGATGGCAATGGTCAGAACATGTCTTATTGACGTGTACAAGAAGATTCATCGTAATCGGCATTACATACTTTTGCCTTATAAATCCTTGACACTGAACCCTATACCTTAAAACACAAATGAGGCGATCCCCTGCTTTTAAAACACAAATAAAAAACGACTATCTCTTTAATGTATGTGTGTGTGTATGAGCTATAGTAACAAACTTTGAAAATAATTACAATTTACAAATTTAATCGCACACTTGAAAAAGGCAATACCTAAAAATTCAATATATTTTTGAATTGAAAATATAATTCGCTTGCATTAGTGTTACATAAAATTATGTACATTGTTATATATAATTAAGACAACGATTTTTGTTTGCAATTAACCCGAATTCTATTTACACATGAATGATGCAAATAATATTAATTATTGGAATTTAAATTATCAGACAAAGAATCTTAAAATTAGCTTATACCAAATTACAGAAAACTGAAAATAAACATACATGGCTGTGACAAGCATCAAAGATTTGAAATATGATCTGTATGTTTTTTTTTTGTTATATTCCACTCAACACTATTGATAAAACCTAGTTTGCATAAGATACCTCACAAACAATATTTTATAGCAGGGTCGAGTCGATAACCAAGTGTTTATCGCTATTGTAAACAGTAATAATAATAATATAAATAATGGTCTTGATTATGTTTAATTAAATTTGAGTTAAAAAAATGGTGGATACTATTTTGCCACAAATATGTAATGATTCCAGTACAATCAGTATTTACACTAATATGCTACACAGGAATGGTACACATATTTGGATATTTTAGCAAAAACATGAACGCAATTCATAAATACACTGATATGTAACATGTTCTTATTGACAATATATTTGTCAAGTTTAACGGATTGGTCAGACTATTGGCATTCCAATGGGCACGAATTGTGTACTGGTTCTGGCAAACGTATTTGGTTAGTGCTTCGACAACATGTATATATGCATTGACGACCACTTGAGTTTAAATTACTTATTTAGATTTTCTCACTTGATTTATTCAGATTTATTATTTACCACTAAAGACACAACAAGGGAAATAGATTCCCCCTTTGTACATTGATACGTTCCATAAAATTAAACCTAATTGCCATTAAACTAAGGAGTACGATAAGTAAACTAATTTACAAGATGTTGTAAAGCATGTAGGTGAAACTAAACATCTGTAAAACTAGTTACTCAAGAACAGATAGACTGGCATACAGTCTCTTGATTATTTTCGTTTTTTTATCAATAAAATAAAATAAAATAAAATAAAATATGGGAATGTATGAATGGCGACAACCGAGTTACTGCGAAATAAATTTGTTTATTTTGTGGTAACCCGGCTGTCGCCATTTACACACTCCCATGATATTTTATTTTTTTGTGAAACACCAGAAAATAAACAAAACACTGTATGCAAGTCTAAAGAACAGATAATTACCAAATATGACTTTCTGTCAAGCAAATTGTGTGACATAGAAATCCCGATTATGACATAGATCTTTATAACTTGTCAAACCTTGATATTTATCACAATAAGTGACCAATTGTGATTGGTGTGACAAGCCTGAAGGTATGCTTATTTATTACGGACAACTGTTACCGTATATAATATACTAGTAATCTTTTAGCATATACCTCGTAATGCCCGGCTCCGTAGCGCTATGGGAAGTGCGCCCTCACATCAGGACAATAATTTCCCGTATCACGCCTGGCCTAGCGCGCCCGGCTTTGCTCATGGTGTTGAGGGACGGTGTTTAAAACAAAACGCATCATTTTAAATTACGTTGTGCGTTTGAGATCACGCCATGATAAATTTGTAATTACTCCTATAAGGTATATGATAAAACCTTTATGGACTGAATACGACTTTTGCTGTCCTGGGTACGGCTTACGGTGTAAAAGCCGTATCCAGTCCATAAAAGAATATTACAACTATCTGGATACTAGGCATCGTCCGAATCGTACGGTTTCGCTAAAGCCGGCCATTCATAACCGGCCCACGAACCCGTGCGTGATCGTGTTAGGGAAAGCTGTATTTCACTGCAGATAAATTGAGTCATTTGATTGGGCGCGCCAAGGAGCTTGCGCCACCAATCAGCGTTGCTGTATCATAAATGTGAACGTCTTGGGTCATGCCAGATTAAAACAATGGCGGCGTGTAGGCCTTCCGTTGATTCATCGAGAGTCAAGAACAGAAGGTCTATATTCGTTGACACGTTTCCAAAATGTGTTATTCCAACGTTGGAAATTGTTTGTGGGCAAGTAAATGAAGACGATAGAATGTCTAAATATTTGTGCAAACTGTGTTTTAGTAAACTGTCGAAACTGATAACATATCGACTTACCCGATGATTCCGGTTTCGTTGCAACAAACACATCATTTCCCTCAGATACAGCACTAGGCACTTTCCTTTGATAGTCAGTAAACTGTTGATTTATATACTAGTATTCCAAATTTTTAATTTTACCAAGTAATGTGTCGTTTCTATCATGAGTTCTGATTGAGTAATGCAAATGAGCCCAAGTGAATCTTACAATCGTTTGAGGGCGTGCGACATACAGTAAATCGTGGTGAAATCTGCCAAGGGTTAATGTTGAGGCTTCGGTTGAATAAATGGTCCTTGACTGGCGAAGATGCTGGATAGGATGACATAATTAAGAGTTTAGCATAAATCATTTGCTACATATATAATTCTCAGTGATGTATTATAGATGCACATTTACTACTAAGTGTAATAGATTTAGGAAAAATATTTGTATAGTTACATGATTATATGCACATATCTATTTGTCATACTCATTATTGCACTAATAGATAAAGAGATTTGGATTATTAGTCGATGTCCTTAACAATTATGCATGTATCTAATTTCAGAAATCTATAGTAAATATGATATCACTAATACAAATGTACTTGGGATTAACATAATGTTGTTGACAAATAGTTGTAGTCATCATAGGAACACGATTCACCAACCTGTCAGCTACATACCATTGCTGCCTGCAGCTATACTTATTTATTTAAAGACGTTCTGTGTAACACAGTAAACGACTTTGTTATTTGTTTCCACTAATAATGCTTATCACCCAAAAATCTAGAACAAATATGACGAGTACTATCCATACAATCATCTGACACAGTGATCCATAAATCTCTTACTGCAGTAATATATAGGATCAAACTTCTCTAATCTTCCGGAGGGCAGTTGCCATAGCAATAGTGCAAAGTAGGTTGGATACGGAGATACAAAACAGTATAGATTATTTGGCGCATGATATCAATCGCTGCGTCTACACTCACCACCACATACTGAATGCTGAATTAATGAATATAGTTATTCTCATCATCTGGTATCCATGGCAACATGAAAATTGTTGCAACGACATGGTTTTGTAAAATTGTTGTCAGTACATAAATTTTGGATATTATAATAACACATTATCATATTGTACTCACTACTTAATTCATCAAGTTAGTATCTTGTCACCAATTCACGCATATTGTAAATAAACTGTTTAAAATGCTTCTAATTCCAGTAACCTGGCCGTTATAATTCAAACTAGGGCGACTAGAGTCTTACGGTCACGCGGCCTGGTCGATCTGATAAGTTCATCGTATGATTCGCTTGATGAATGTGATGTAATGATAACATTATTATTTTTGGGAGGAGCATACAGATGTCTTCATTTAAATGTCTCATTTCATCAGAAGTGCGCGTCCTTGCTGTTCTAATTTGTTATCACTGATTAAGACAATATGAAGTTGTTCTTCGTTTTTATTTTGTCAATTGTGTCTGCATCTGGTTTTGAAAACGAGTCTCCCGAAGAAAGTAAGTGATGTTTAACTACCTACTGGTTTTTATACGATACATTTGAACCGTGTGCCAGAGTAGCGACATCTGCGAGTCAATAACCATGATCACTACCTTTATCATTGTCCCACCTTTTCATATGCTGCTGGTAACGAAATATTGCCAGAAACATCTAGCTATTTTGAATAGTTACTTAGAACAACGATTACCACATATCGCATTTATCGGATCGTGTAGCTGTTGTACTTTTACCATTAGCAATGTTTGCGTTCGCAGGATGGGAACGTTATGTTCAAGTTCTCCGAGAATACGGACCTGATGAAAAGAACATCATGGTATCTAATGATACACCGGTAAGTGATTACTTGTGAATTGTCTTGCTCTTCACTGTGCTAGCAACCGTTCTGAACTTGATTCAGATTTTAAAAATTCGTTTATTTTTTAGAGATTACTACAGTACAAATTTGAATGTGATATTCTAGCGCCTTCTGCCACGAAACCTGACTCGGGTGAGTTATTAAGTTTTATTAAGATATTAAGTTTTAATTGGATGCGTTGTATTTTCAAAAAAACAAACAACAAAACACATCAAAATATACATTATTTTTGCCAGAATGTGTCACATTGTCTAAACATGTCATGCGTTATGTCAATATGACACCACTTCCAAATGAACTGGAAATGTCACATGTATTATGTTATGTGGTAAAACGGTCACGTGCTATTTATGCTAATTCGTGTCGAGACATTTCGACAGAAAAGAAATATTGTGTTTGTGATCATATTTATGAATAGATAATTTAATGGTGTCAACATGTGTATTTTTTGTGGTCATCCGATCGCGATTGATGAGTCGTAGAACACACAATAGTTGAGTTGTAGTCATATTTCATATTTTAAATGTCACATCTACCGATGACTGCAAATCCTAAGGCAATACTTACAGCTCAACCCATGCCTAGCGAAGCTGTGGCAGATTGATTGTTGTATAATCTATGATTACACGTGGTTTCAATAGTCAGAGACTTCCAGTTCTTGCGTTATATTTATTATTTATTATTGTAAAATAGAAATGAAGAGTAAACAAACCAAAACAAATAATGTCCAGCATTAGGGAAAATGGCGACAATTTTGAAAAGTGAGATCAATGCTAAATTACAAATAAATATTTATTTTGTTTATTCAAGTTCATAAACTACGTCCAGCTGATATTGACATCGTTGCTGCTTTGGGAGATTCTTTAACGGTAAGTACGACCTGTGTCATGGTGCCAGTGCCATAATAATTATGCTGATTATCAATACAGGATGCATATGGTGCTGGCAGTAGCACTTATATTAATTATTAATACAGATTGCCAATCAGAAGCGGCGGCACCAAATTTTGCATGAGGGGCGAGATCTGCTCATCAGCCTTGCGGGAAGACGCGACCTTAATGGGGGTCCGGGGGCATGCTCCCCCTTGACAATTTTGAAATCTAGACTCTCTCAAACGCTATTTCCTGCATTTTTAGGGGAACATGTTGCTGACACAAAAGGTTGCAGCTTGATTTTGAAGGGGCGACGCCCCCAACATTTTTTTCGAAGGGCGATCGTCCCCTCTGCCCCTGTGCCGCCGCCACTGTGCAAAGGGGCAGTGTCAATAACCCTTATGTTGATTAATAATACAATTTGCTATTACAGGCTGCCAATGGTGCTGGCGCCAGTAACCCTTTTCAAGTACTGATCGAGTACAGAGGACTATCTTGGAGGTAACCCCAATACTTATAATAAACTGATTTAATACGATTCATATCCATTCAATTAATGTGGGTGAAGACAATAGATTTAAACTAAAAATAAAATTAACTTTGAAACTCGTATTTTTTTAAACTATAGTATTGGTGGCGATAACACATTGGAAGATGGTACTCTAACGCTGTCAAGTACGTATATTGAATAAACAAACACGACAGGAGAGACTTTTCCTCAATGTCTGGCTACTCTGCGTGGTGTTGATTTGCGTGGGTGGGTTTCACGGTCGATACACGTAATAAGCTAGGGCATTAAGTTAAGTATCTTTTCGGGTGGGGTGTTAAGATGGCCGAAGGTATGGTCACCTGAGAGGGGAGGTCACTAGTGAGAATTCACCAACGGCTATGTGATGCATCCAATGGGTTTATAATTACGTGTGAAAATGGGCATGAATCCCTTCCCTTATAAGTTGTAGGTTTTTAAAGAATTTGATCTTCCGGAGCGTGATTTTCATCAGAAGTTGAGGCTTCGCATACTCGTATAGTGCATTTGATCCCGGGGTGGATGTGTGATGTGACGTTTTACAATAGTTTCGTGATTTGGTGTTGTATGAGTGCGCCGGTTCAGCTCACGCACGAAATCCATGTACTTGTTCCTAAGATACTTTGTTTGCCTTGCCGTGTATTCGGTGTTTTTTTTTACAAACAAATGCACAGATGGAAGAGTGTACAGATCAGCAGATATGCATACTGACAGGCACGCACATAGGAAAACAAGTGACAAAAGAGAAAAAATCTTAAGATAAACACACATTAAATACACTCATAGACTCAAATACACATACACATACAGACACATATTACGAAAGCCTTTTTTACATTTTTTTTTATTAACTTAATTGTATTATTATTTTATTTTCTCAGACATTTTGAAAATGTATAACCCAAACGTAAAAGGTTGGTCTATAGAGACAGGTCCCGCAGATAACCATAACATCTCTAGATTAAACGTGGCGGTACCAGGTTCCACTTCAATGTAAGACGATATTTGATTTATCAAATTTTATGACATCATCCAATTAACTAATATTAGAATATATACATGTGACGTCATCATTTTTACATTTCCATGTTTCGTCACCGACTGATTTATTTATACAAATTGTAACAATCACTATTGGTTATCGGCTATCGTTTTTGTGTTTTCTTAGAGATATGCTTGAACAGGTAGAAACCCTTATTCAGGGTCTGAAGACAGTCAAGACTCTAGATTATGATAATGATTGGAAACTGGTAACCTTATTCATAGGTGGTAATGATTTGTGTGCTTACTGCCGAGACAATGATAGCTACTCAGCCGAGCAGTACGCCACCAATGTTAAGGCAGCGTTGGATTTAATGCACGTTGAGGTAACGTATATATTTACTATTATTTCAGCGTCTCCTGCGTACATATACAGTCTACTCTGAATGAGTGCCACCTCCTGCGTTTGTACTCGTGCAGTCTACTTTTAATAATGTATCCTTCTGCGTCCGTATAAATGTAGTCTGTTCTGAATGTCTCCTTCGTTCGTTCAAAGGCAGTCTACTCTGAATGAATGTCCCCTTCAGCGTTCTTACACATGTGC